CCCATATTCAAGGTCACAGTGGTCAATATATGTTTAAATCTTTAAATGACTTGTTCTGTATAACCAATAGGTACAGGGTTATGATATTTTGCCAAAAGCATGCTAGGTTGGAAGACTTTAAACTCTGTTCAACCTAATGTCCTTGTTCGACATTCAAGGTCACAGGCGTCATATGTTTAAATCTTTTAATAGGTTCTTATGAATCAAACACTGATATTCTGCCTGTAGCTGTATTTTAGTCCACTTTTAAGATTACAAGTGTGAGATTAATACCAGGTGAGCGATTCAGGCCCATTGGGCCTCTTGTTTACCCATGCGCTATGTTTTCACTGTTAGATAGACAAATAAATTAAAAGCTTGAATCTCATTATTTTACTATCTCCCCTTGCACTGCTTTTCACAATGATTTGACTTATGATATTAAAAATAAATGTTATGGAAGATTACATACATGAAATGAGAATAATATTAAAACCAGATCAGTAAGAAACAGTATTGTGAATGTGATAAGCTTAAGATTACATGTGATTTTGTTGTAGGGAGCTGACCTGTCCCATGTGTTCTGTACAGAGGGCTCAGCTAATGTGATCAAGTCATACAGTCCAGAACTCATCGTACACCCCATACTGTAAGTATACTTCATGTACACTACAATACAGTATTACATCAGTGTACATGTAGTATTACATCAGTAGACATACTGTAAGTATACCTCATGTACAGTAATACATCAGTAGACATACTGTTAGTATACTTCATGTACAGTATTACATTAGTGTACAGTATCACATCAGTAGACATACTGTAAGTATACTTCATGTACAGTAATACATCAGTAGACATACTGTAAGTATACTTCATGTACAGTATTACATCAGTAGACATACTGTAAGTATACTTCATGTACAGTTATACATCAGTAGACATACTGTAAGTATACTTCATGTACAGTAATACATCAGTAGCCATACTGTAAATATACTTTACTTGTATATATAAAGTATGACATGAGATGAATTAACTGTTTTTTACAATTCTGGAAATATAAATTTGTTAGTGATGAAATATTTTGGAGAGTTTACATGTAGTCATTAGTATTTTCATATTTTATTTGTGTTTACATTTTAACAAGGAGACTATTTTGAATCTAATGAATAGTTTTATCTGTGTTAAAATTTGTCATTATTCAGGGATTCTGAAGATGTGATGACTCAAATGGAGGAATGGTTACCACGACTTCATGCCATTGTCCTTGGTCCAGGGTTGGGCAGATCCTCTAAGAGTATCAGAAATGCAACGGTAAGTTAAATGATTTTAATGAATATTTGGAGTCAAATATAAAGAATATCAGACATTTATGAAGACAGTGAAAACATGAATATTTTTTTGGATGACAATATTACAGGAACTAAATATTTCACATGCACATATTTTTTCTCTGTTCTGTTACGCATGTAGAGGTCATCAGTTAATACTCAATTGTACCCAGATCAAAGGTCAGCACTCACTGGTACTCGGGTTAAGGGTCAACACTAAGTATCTAGACCAAGGCTCAACACTTATTAGGTAGAGGTAAGGGGTCAAGAGTTAATAGGTACCCATGCAGATCAAGGGTCAATATTCACTGAAGCTTTCCAGGTCAAGGGTCAACACTAAGTATCCATGTTAAGGATCAATATTTATTAGGTATTCAGGTCAAAGATCAGGTATACCCGTATTGAGGGTCAACATTCACTAGTTATCCATATCATAGGTCAACACTAATTAGGTTATTTAGTCAAAAGTCAACACTCACTTGGTACCATTGTAAGGGTCAATATTCTCTGGGTTCCCAGGTCAAGGGTCAACACAGTTATACTGCATTTATTAGGTTTCAGGTCACTACAAGGTTCAGGTACATGGGTCAAAGGTCAACTCTAACTATGTACAGGTCGAGGATGTGTTTGCTGCCTTTCAGATATGCAATGATAGTGTATAAAGTTTAAAAACCCAGCAAAGTCGTATTTTAGAGTATATGATATAACATTTAGTATTGATAAACCTCTGAGGTTTTGTCCTGGTAAGTCATGTTTACTAGCTCTGGGTCTGTAGCCATGTAATTGCGTAATCCAAGGTACCAAGTCTTACATTCAAATCGCTATTGTAAAATGTAATAATTTTCATGACTTTGTTTTGTTTCAGGCAATCGTTGAGAAGGCTAAGGAGAGAGACATTCCACTGGTTATAGATGCTGTGAGTTGTCTGGAAACTTTGGTACACTTACAATGCAATGTAATTCATTGTAGGACTGTTGATTACAAATCTTCAATAACAATTATTACCAACTAATCAGTTTTTCATTTGGAAGGAAGAAATTATGTGGCAAAATCTAAAAATGAATTTAATTTGAATTAAGCAAGAAACAACATGTCCGAATTTAAAAGTCAAAAGTGAGGTTGAAAAATTTGTAGGGATTTATAGCAAATCGTGTAAAATTTACATTACAGTTGTAAATTAACATTATACAATTATGGACTTCAGGTGAGGTCTGTCCCTGATTTACGAGCCTGGTCTGAACAATATTCACAGAGGCCGAAGGCCGAGGTGAATATTGTTCAGACCAGGTCCGTAAATCAGGGAGAGACCGACCTGAAGTCCACAATTGTTTTATTATATGACATTTTACAATCAGATTAATAATTTTTCAAGTCATAAACACACGGACGGCATGGACCATTTTGGAATCACAGAGTGAAGCACTTCAAATACAAAATAACATACACACAAATTTGATTTCAAATTCAATTCATGTGATATTTAATTTCAAATAAAATCGACATCATCAATACTCACATAGTTCAGAATATGATGAGATAATGCATTTGTAGTTGAATTCAGTAGTGTAATTGGTAACAGAATCACAGACTTGCTGGGAAATTACCTAGGGCTATTTTCAGTAGCTGTCTGTAACACTTTTCTATTTATAGGTCGAGGTCTGTAACACTTTTCTATTAATAGAACAAGGTCTGTAACATATTTACAGACTCGTCACGTGACGTCGCTCCTCCAATCAGGGCTGGGAATTAGCACCAGTCATATAATAATACATATTACAGACTCACAGCTAGATTGTCCTTAATCTCCAATGTTTCTTGTGTAACACACACATTTTATTTCAGTAAACATATAAAAATGTTTCATAATGTATGCCTTATTCAGTACATGAAATTCAAAACAAAACAGCATCCAGATGATCCATTAAGTTGTGGGCCATTTCTTGTTTTCTATGGTGTGTGTACGTGTTAGTTCATCTTTTACAATCAGTCTGGTTTCTATGGTGTTTGTACGTGTTAGTTCATCTTTTACAATCAGTCTGGTTTCTATGGTGTGTGTACGTGTTAGTTCATCTTTTACAATCAGTCTGGTTTCTATGGTGTGTGTACGTGTTAGTTCATCTTTCACAATCAGTCTGGTTTCTATGGTGTGTGTATGTGTTAGTTCATCGTTTACAACCAGTCTGGTTTCTATGGTGTGTGTACGTGTTAGTTCATCTTTTACAATCAGTCTGTTTTCTATGGTGTGTGTATGTGTTAGTTCATCGTTTACAATCATTCTGTTTTCTATGGTGTGTGTACGTGTTAGTTCATCTTTTACAATCAGTCTGTTTTCTATCGTGTGTGTACGTGTTAGTTCATCTTTCACAATCAGTCTGGTTTCTATAGTGTGTGTATGTGTTAGTTCATCGTTTACAATCAGTCTGGTTTGTATGGTGTGTGTACGTGTTAGTTCATCTTTCACAATCAGTCTGGTTTCTATGGTGTTTGTACGTGCTAGTTCATCTTTTACAATCAGTCTGTTTTCTGTGGTGTGTGTATGTGTTAGTTCATCGTTTACAATCATTCTGTTTTCTATGGAGTGTGTACGTGTTAGTTCATCGTTTACAATCAGTCTGGTTTGTTTATCTGCTTTGCTATCTGTCTGTTCATGTTTGCCATTGTACACACTAGATCCCTAAATAACGTATATATGAATGTTTATATTTGACAGGACGGTCTGTACCTACTAAAGGATAACCCTGGCATCATATTTGAATACACTAAAGCTATCCTCACTCCCAACGTGGTGGAATTCAACAGACTCTATGAACAAGTTGTAAGTTTGACCCTTTTTATCATAACTTTACAATTTACCCTGACTGTTATTACATTGTTATAACACCACCATATAAAGGTAAGATGATTAACATGTGTGATATCCCTCAATAGGCCTTGACAAGTAACAATGCAATGGTGTACTATGTGTTGTCACAGCTTCACAGCAAAGTAAGCAAAAACCTGGGATGTTTTCCTTGAATGTTTTTGTTCTTTCTAAATCTTAAAAACTGTGTTTCTGGATAATTGTTTGTATGTAAAAAAAACATAAAACTCTTTCCCCTTCCCAACAGATTTCAAAGAAAAATAAATTCAATTTCCAGGAAATGGGAACTCCTTGAAAATCCTCTGTGTGTGATTTGGTAGTCATCACTATTTCAGTACTAATAAGATTCTCTATTTGTGATTTTGTATTCAGCAGTATTTCAGTACTGTCAAAGATTCTCTATTTGTGATTTGGTATTCAGCAGTATTTCAGTACTGTTAAAGATCCTCTGTTTGTGATTTGGTATTCAGCAGTATTTCAGTACTGTTAAAGATCCTGTATTTGTGATTTGGTATTCAGCAGTATTTCAGTACTGTCAAAGATTCTCTATTTGTGATTTGATATTCAGCAGTATTTCAGTACTGTTAAAGATCCTCTATTTGTAATTTGGTATTCATCAGTATTTCAGTACTGTTAAAGATCCTGTATTTGTGATTTGGTATTCAGCAGTATTTCAGTTCTGTTAAGGATTCTCTATTTGTGAATTGGTATCCAGCAGTATTTCAGTACTGTTTAAGTTTCTCTGTTTGTGATTTGGTATTCAGCAGTATTTCAGTTCTGTTTAAGATTCTCTATTTGTGATTTGGTATTCAGCAGTATTTCTGTACTGTTAAAGATCCTCTATTTGTAATTTGGTATTCATCAGTATTTCAGTACTGACAAAGATTCTCTATTTGTGATTTTGTATTCAGCAGTATTTCAGTACTGTCAAAGATTCTCTATTTGTGATTTGATATTCAGCAGTATTTCAGTACTGTTAAAGTTTCTGTATTTGTGATTTGGTATTCAGCAGTATTTCAGTCCTGTTTAAGATTCTCTATTTGTGATTTGGTATTCAGCAGTATTTCAGTACTGTCAAAGATTCTCTATTTGTGATCTGATATTCAGCAGTATTTCAGTACTGTTAAAGATCCTGTATTTCTGATTTGGTATTCAGCAGTATTTCAGTTCTGTTAAGGATTCTCTATTTGTGAATTGGTATCCAGCAGTATTTCAGTACTGTTTAAGTTTCTCTATTTGTGATTTGGTATTCAGCAGTATTTCAGTTCTGTTTAAGATTCTCTATTTGTGATTTGGTATTCAGCAGTATTTCAGTACTGTTAAAGATCCTCTATTTGTAATTTGGTATTCATCAGTATTTCAGTACTGTTAAAGATCCTGTATTTGTGATTTGATATTCAGCAGTATTTCAGTACTGTTAAAGATACTCTATATGTGATTTGGTATTAAGCCGTATTTCAGTACTGTTAAAGATTCTCTTTTTGTGATTTTGTATTCAGCAGGATTTCAGTACTGTTAAAGATCCTGTATTTGTGATTTGATATTCAGCAGTATTTCAGTACTGTTAAAGATTCTCTATTTGTGATTTGGTATCCAGCAGTATTTCAGTACTGTTAAAGATCCTCTATATGTGATTTGGTATTAAGCCGTATTTCAGTACTGTTAAAGATTCTCTTTTTGTGATTTTGTATTCAGCAGTATTTCAGTACTGTTAAAGATCCTGTATTTGTGATTTGGTATTCAGCAGTATTTCAGTACTGTTAAAGTTTCTCTATTTGTGATTTGGTATTCAGCAGTATTTCTGTACTGTCAAAGATCCTCTATTTGTGATTTGGTATCCAGCAGTATTTCAGTTCTGTTTAAGATTCTCTATTTGTGATTTGGTAATCATCACTATTTCATTACTGTATGATTTCAGTACTGTCAAAGATCCTCTATATGTGATTTGGTATTCAGCAGTATTTCAGTACTGTTTAAGATCCTCTATATGTGATTTGGTATTCAGCAGTATTTCAGTACTGTTAAAGATCCTCTGTTTGTGATTTGGTATTCAGCAGTATTTCAGTACTGTTAAAGATCCTCTGTTTGTGATTTGGTATTCAGCAATATTTCAGTACTGTTAAAGATCCTCTATTTGTGATTTGGTATCCAGCAGTATTTCAGTTCTGTTAAAGTTTCTCTGTTTGTGATTTGGTATTCAGCAGTATTTCAGTACTGTTAAAGTTTCTCTATTAGTGATTTGGTATCCGGCAGTATTTCAGTACTGTCAAAGATTCTCTATTTGTGATTTTGTATTCAGCAGTATTTCAGTACTGTCAAAGCTAAGATCCTGTATTTGTGATTTAATATCCGGCAGTATTTCAGTACTGTTAAAGATCCTCTATTTGTGATTTGGTATCCAGCAGTATTTCAGTTCTGTTAAAGTTTCTCTGTTTGTGATTTGGTATTCAGCAGTATTTCAGTACTGTTAAAGTTTCTCTATTAGTGATTTGGTATCCGGCAGTATTTCAGTACTGTCAAAGATTCTCTATTTGTGATTTTGTATTCAGCAGTATTTCAGTACTGTCAAAGATCCTGTATTTGTGATTTGATATCCGGCAGTATTTCAGTACTGTTAAAGATCCTCTATTTGTGATTTGGTATCCAGCAGTATTTCAGTTCTGTTAAAGTTTCTCTATTTGTGATTTGGTATTCAGCAGTATTTCAGTACTGTTAAAGATCCTCTATATGTGATTTGGTATTAAGCCATATTTCAGTACTGTTAAAGATTCTGTATTTGTGATTTGGTATTAAGCAGTATTTCAGTACTGTTAAAGATTCTCTATTTGTGATTTTGTATTCAGCAGTATTTCAGTACTGTCAAAGATACTCTATTTGTGATTTTGTATTCAGCAGTATTTCAGTTCTGTTTAAGATTCTCTATTTGTGATTTGGTAGTCATCACTATTTCAGTTCTGTCAAAGATCCTCTATTTGTGATTTGGTATTCAGCAGTATTTCAGTACTGTTAAAGATCCTGTATTTGTGATTTGGTATTCAGCATTATTTCAGTACTGTCAAAGATACTCTATTTGTGATATTGTATTCAGCAGTATTTCAGGTCTGTTTAAGATTCTCTATTTGTGATTTGGTATTCAGCAGTATTTCAGTACTGTTTAAGATCCTCTATTTGTGATTTGGGATTCAGCAGTATTTCAGTACTGTTAAAGATTCTGTATTTGTGATTTGGTATTCAGCAGTATTTCAGTACTGTTAAAGATCCTCTATTTGTGATTTGGTATTCAGCAGTATTTCAGTACTGTTTAAGATCCTGTATTTGTGATTTGGTATTCAGCAGTATTTCAGTACTGTCAAAGATTCTCTATTTGTGATTTGGTATTCAGCAGTATTTCAGTACTGTTAAAGATCCTCTATTTGTGATTTGGTATTCAGCAGTATTTCAGTACTGTTAAAGATCCTCTATTTGTGATTTGGTATTCAGCAGTATTTCAGTACTGTCAAAGATCCTCTATTTGTGATTTGGTATTCAGCAGTATTTCAGTACTGTCAAAGATCCTCTATTTGTGATTTGGTATTCAGCAGTATTTCAGTACTGTCAAAGATCCTCTATTTGTGATTTGGTATTCAGCAGTATTTCAGTACTGTCAAAGATCCTCTATTTGTGATTTGGTATTCAGCAGTATTTCAGTACTGTCAAAGATCCTCTATTTGTGATTTGGTATTCAGCAGTATTTCAGTACTGTCAAAGATCCTCTATTTGTGATTTGGTATTCAGCAGTATTTCTGTACTGTCAAAGATCCTGTATTTGTGATTTGGTATTCAGCAGTATTTCTGTACTGTCAAAGATCCTGTATTTGTGATTTGGTATTCAGCAGTACTCAATAAAGCAGCTGATCATGAATTGCTACAAAACAAGATAATTTGCACTTCTTTTTTATCAGTTATAAAGGTATGATTTTGTGGGGCAACATTGAGGAAGTCTTTAATAGGATGTAGCTTTATTTATCCTGTTAGAGGATTTTGTGATCCTCTTGCGAAGAAATTGCTAAAATATGATCATAGCAACAATTTTAAATAGGACAGAAAATACACTATGGTCAAAACAGGGATTGAGATGTGTATAAGTTACCTTAGCAAGTCTAGACAGAGTGAGCTCCCTGGTCAGGTTCCAGATCTGTTAAGTGACCTTAGTAAGTCTAGACAGAGTGAGCTCCCTGGTCAGGTTCCAGATCTGTTAAGTGACCTTAGTAAGTCTAGACAGAGTGAGCTCCCTGGTCAGGTTCCAGATCTGTTATAAGTGACCTTAGTAAGTCTAGACAGAGTGAGCTCCCTGGTCAGGTTCCAGATCTGTTATAAGTGACCTTAGTAAGTCTAGACAGAGTGAGCTCCCTGGTCAGGTTCCAGATCTGTTATAAGTGACCTTAGTAAGTCTAGACAGAGTGAGCTCCCTGGTCAGGTTCCAGATCTGTTATAAGTGACCTTAGTAAGTCTAGACAGAGTGAGCTCCCTGGTCAGGTTCCAGATCTGTTATAAGTGACCTTAGTAAGTCTAGACAGAGTGAGCTCCCTGGTCAGGTTCCAGATCTGTTATAAGTGACCTTAGTAAGTCTAGACAGAGTGAGCTCCCTGGTCAGGTTCCAGATCTGTTATAAGTGACCTTAGTAAGTCTAGACAGAGTGAGCTCCCTGGTCAGGTTCCAGATCTGTTATAAGTGACCTTAGTAAGTCTAGACAGAGTGAGCTCCCTGGTCAGGTTCCAGATCTGTTATAAGTGACCTTAGTAAGTCTAGACAGAGTGAGCTCCCTGGTCAGGTTCCAGATCTGTTATAAGTGACCTTAGTAAGTCTAGACAGAGTGAGCTCCCTGGTCAGGTTCCAGATCTGTTATAAGTGACCTTAGTAAGTCTAGACAGAGTGAGCTCCCTGGTCAGGTTCCAGATCTGTTATAAGTGACCTTA